CTTTGTTTCGAGGGAAGTAAACCCAAGTACAAAATATTGCACTTTTGATTTGCGATTGTACGCTTATAATTTTGTCTATTTGATTTTTCATAATCAGCAATGTATATTACATGTCATGAATAAGTGATAATTGTGTTTTAATTAAGTTCTTATTTTTGGTTGCACGTGAACTTTAAACACGATACACAGCTTTAGAAGTGATGCTATCCATCAACCACGTCAGCAAGCCATCCAGCCCCATCAGTGACCTCTTACAGCAAAGTATGGTTGAGTTTGTTGTTTAATAGACAAGAAAAATAGACAAAAAATATGAAAAAAATCAACAATTTACTGTTAGTTCAAAAACATGATGAAAATATAACTACTTTCCTACAACCATGATCAACATAATCAAAACGTTATTAATGGATCTGATCACCAGGATGTTTCCACTCAGAATACACAAAATGAACCATGTTTTTAGCAACGCACAACTTCCCATTAATAATATAGAACAAACTTTATGGATAACAACTTCTTTTTATTCGTGAGTGCGACGTTTCGATACAGATTCTTGTACCGTTGTCAAGCAGGAATTCCTGTTTGACAACGGTACAAGAATCTGTACCTGTCAAGCTGGAATTGTCAAGCAGGAATTTCTCAAACGGTACAAGAATCTGTATCGAAACGTTGCACTCACAAATAAAAAGAAGTTGTTATCCATAAAGTTTGTTCTATATTGTACTTCCCAACTTCTAAAATGCCACTCAAAGAAGTTTCCCATTAATATGATAAAATTTGGGCAGTTTTGACATCAACTTTCATTTGTCAAATTGGACCAGACAATCCAATGATCAACAGCATGAGCATCCATCTATGCAACTGGGATACAATGACATGACCAAGTCAGCAAGCCTGACCACCCGATCCCGTTTAGTCGCCTCTTACGACAAGCATGGATAACTGAAGATCAATTCTAACTCGGATCTTCACGGGTCACAAGATTATTGGAATTTAACAAAGTAAACTGTAAGCTAATGGTCATTCAGAAATGCAAAACCATTCAAATTCCATAGCCCCAGTTTGTTTGTACATGCAAGAGACAAGCACTACTACATATTAACAAAAATTCTGCATTTTCAGCCCTACAATCATTAAGATTCAAGGTCGTGATGGCTTTCCCCCGACTTTTTTGAGGATTTGACAATCATGCACATAAACACTTGAACAGCTTGAACAGATACCACAGTTACAATATAGGGTGAATCTTGCATGTCTTGAGTGAGTTTAGTTTTACGCCGCACTCAGCAATATTCCAGCTATATGGCAGTGGAGTGCATGTCTAGACAGACCCTCATCTTGTACAGAGGTTACTTTTTTCAGAGAAATCAATAGCAATGACAAGCACTTAGCAGGCTGCGTTATTACAACACAACACAACACAACACAACACAACACAACTGGAGCAGAACATCGAACATCTTAATCAACTCCTGTGCAAGGTTGATCATATTGATTGCTATCATTTGTCAATAACAATGTAAACATGATGAATGTTCTGGGAAATAACTACTGCAAATCAGTACATCATGTCTATCTGTGCTATAACAGACAAGTTCATTTACAATGTATGTATGGGATACTGTATTAGATTCTTGACAAGAAATACATAGGTCCTGATTCAAGGTAGCCATCCAGTCTTACAATACAGTGCACAAAACTGTTTCATTACCCCCATATTTCAGACTTTTGAAACTTGTGATTGGGGTCCCTTGGACAAATTAGACAATTGTCAAAAGACCCCATATGTCATGAGGCCAAAAAAAATAAATGTTGTGGTTCCGATTTCCTACATTTCAGAACTAGGGTAGGTAGGTAGGGGTTTGGGGTTTTTGGCAAAATATTTTTACATTACTCAGATTACTCATGTGTCAGAAAATAAATTTCATTTATTATGAGGTGAGTAAAATTGTTAGGCTCGGCGGGAATATTTAGGGTCGGTCGGGAAATCGGAACCACAAGCTTTTTTTTTTAGGCCTGATTGGTCATTTTGAGTGAGTGTGTGTGGTTTTGTGCTGCTTTTAGCAATTTTCAAGCAATATCACAGTGGGAGACACCAGAAATGGGCTTCACACACAATACCCATGTGGGGAGTCGAACCAAAGACTTTAGTGTGACTAGCCAACCACTAGGCTATCCAACCACCATGGTCAGTTTGAAAAAACATTATGATGTCATCATGGTCATAGTGCTTAACATATCATAATTTGACTTTCTTCTTCATTGTATAGCATGGAATATTTACAGGTGTCAGTTGCATGGAATTTTTACAGGTGTCAGTAGCATGGAATATTTACAGGTGTCGGTTGCATGGAATATTTAAAGGTGTTGGTTGCATGGAAAATTTACAGGTGTCAGTAGCATGGAATATTTACAGGTTTATTATTATTTATTATTATGATACTTATATAGCGCACATATCCAGGCAACTAGTGCTTGCTCAAGGCGCTGATATTTTTTCCCTCGATCATCGGATGTCAATCTCAATGGCACATCGTATTATCAATCTCAACTCCCTGGGGAGTATACGACTCTTGCAGCCACTAGTAGCATGGTATATTTACAGGTATCAGTAGCATGGTATATTTACAGGTGTCAGTAGCATGGAATATTTACAAGTATCAGTAGCATGGAATATTTACAGGTATCAGTAGCATGATATATTTACAGGTGTCAGTAGCATGGCATATTTACAGGTATCAGTAGCATGATATATTTACAAGTATCAGTAGCATGGAATATTTACAGGTATCAGTAGCATGGTATATTTACAGGTGTCAGTAGCATGGCATATTTACAGGTGTCAGTAGCATGGAATATTTACAGGTATCAGTAGCATGATATACAAGATATTATACTATTAAAGCTTGTGGCCACACCAAGAATGGCCACTCTGGGCATAAATCACTGGGGCTTCCAAGTACACGTATAACTCTGGGCGATTTATTCCCATAAACATTGATCCAACACTCAATTACTCTCCTATTTCATGACAAACTAAATACATAAACTGGCCTTCCTGAAAAGGAGGTTCTAGTAAAACCCACATACCTAACATAAACGCATACATGAAGTAATTTAGCTCGCATTTCATGAAATGATACACTCTTCAGATCGTGTTTACATACACTTATCAAGGACATTGTAAACATGGCAATGTACATGTGTTAGACTAGGTAAACAGAAGGGATCATGATCACTTAATTTCCCTAGAACAGTTAATAAATTTGTTGTCTTTACTGGATCAGCTAATCAGACTCAGTGATTTTTTTATGCAAGTAATTGTATCCACATTGTGTAGATCAATGCTTGTGATGACAGTCACTGAACTGTCTGGTCCAGACTCAATTATTTACAGACTGCCATCATATAGCTTGAATATTGCTGAAAACAGCAATAAACAAACAAAATCTAAAGGGGGTACAAACAATACACATGCAAAATGACAAGTACAAATAATGGTAAGCATATCTCACAAGCCTGTGACCTTACTCCAGAATAGGACCTCGCAATCAATTTGTGTCATCGTAAAAGACTATTGATTAGATTGCCTCCTACCCACGTTAAGCCAGTTGCATTTTTAATGCATCAGTCATGAAATATTAATGAGGCTGTTTGTAGACATATGAGAACTCTCTGGAGGGACAATGGAACAGTTTGTTGTCATAAAACTGTATTTGGTAGTTAAGAATATACAAAGTGTAATGAGATGTCATAGAGATGGTCACATCATGTCAAACATTGTTACAATGAGTGACTGAAGCATATTTAACACTTTTTAATAAAACCATGCTTAAAACTCTCCTGGATCTATTGTGAGCTTTACATCTTCAGCTTACAATTTCTGTGCCAATTTCTCAACAAAAGTTACAAAGCAAAACAGAAACATATCTTTTTATCTTGCATATTTGGTATGTAGAGACGTTAGATATAGCCTTAAATTTCTTGACTGACTGACTGACTGAGTTTGGTTTTACGCCGCTTTTAGCAATATTCCAGCAACATCACGGCGGGGGACACCAGAAATGGGCTTCACGCATTGTACCCATGTGGGGATTCGAACCCGGGTCTCCGGCGTGACGAGCCAACGCTTTAACCATTAGGCTACCCCAACACCCTAAATTTCTTGAACTGAAGCAACATGTATTATCACTGTTAACATGTCCAACAACAGAACTCATCGACAATGTTACATTAGTTTGTTTTGTCATTTCATGCCTCATACAAGAATATTTGTCTCAAAATCTTGTCTAAACAGTTCTTTAGAAGTTACAAAATGGTGAGACACAAATACAAACATACAAATAAATCTGCTGCCAACCCAAACATAACAGCCATATCATTCATTTAACAATGTTTTTACTGATTACAAAATTATACTTATATCATGTATATAGCTCACTTGTGAAAATATTACTTCCTTTCAACTAATTAATTCAGTTACATAAGCATGCTAAGTAAGAGAATCATTGGCAGAAATATGATACTTAAATCCTGATAATCCTGATAATAAATTAATATTCAGAATAATATTTATTACATTTATGTGGCAACGTGATTACTTACTCTCCTCATTATGCTTTTCTTGAGTCCTCAAGACCCAGACTACTTTCATTAGTGCTAAAACGTATTAGTGAGTAAGTGAGAGAGTTTGGTCTTACGCCGCTTTTAGCAATATTCCAGCAATATCACGGTGGGGGACACCAGAAATGGGTTTCACACATTGTACCCAGGTAGGGAATCAAACCCGGGTATTCAGCGTGATGAGTGAATCCTTTAACCACCAGGCTACCCCACCACCCCACTAAAATGTACTTAATCGTTCTTCAGTTGAACTTGTTTCTATATAAAAAACATGATAACTGAATAAATTGTGTCAAGCAAACACTTATCTGATTGGTCATTGGTTTATCACATGAATAACCATTACATATTCTACCATATGATAAAAAATATATTACCTGCTCAATTGACGACACCTTCTGCACTTGCGTTTTGTCATAACAGTACATGATTTATGAAATCCAAGCAGATGGCTGATACACTCCATAGTAAAAGGTTACTGAATTACACTGTAAACACCACCCTATCTCCAGCGATGAAAACAACAAACACACAGTTGAGTCTGTCTGCTCCTCATCGTCACTGTAAATATTTTCATCACTATGTTGGAAGGATAAATTTCAGCATATTATCCATGATTCATTGACATCCTTCATGAAACGAACTCAACCTGAACTTCAAATAATCATCAACATGAATTAAATTCCTTTTTCCAGTATCCAGTGTTTGCTTATAAATATTGACATCGCTATGACATCAATATCTGTGATATCAATTCATTACATCTCAAGCATGTCAGGAACTTAATACCCAACCATGTTTAATTGCCACATTTTCATATTTACTACGTTGATATGACATAAACGTAATTAAAGCACTTCCAAATGTTCAAAATGAGTACACCAGCAAATAAACCTGTACTAAAGTCATTGTACCAAGATAGCCTTCGGATACACGACCGATATGTTCAAACCTTATCCCGGAACAATCCACAACATCAAAGAACCCTTACATGCTTGTGGCTGCCCAAACACAATACAAATGAAAGTCGATTCGTATCCAGATCACTAATCACATGCAATCAACCATGGCTGACTTGTAATCCTGAACAGCTATCAGAGTTAGCAAACCAACTACATCTTCACAAAACACTCCTTGGGAAACTCTCTCACAAGAGTATCAGCCGGGCATCATGAAGCAAGACCTGATTATGACTGAGTCAACCAGACCTGGGTTGTGAAATATGAATTCCTGCTCTGTACATGCCGACTGCTAGATGACATGGAGCCAGGAGTAACAACATTCCTGTGGCACTTTCATATGGAAATAATCAATGTGGTATTGAACACCACGATGAATGGGAAAGGCCGCGAAAATTAAAATATTCTTTATTCATGACTGACCCTGCAAGAGTGGTTGAACTTAAGGGAGTAACTTCTAATCATGGGGGTGATTAGAAAACAATGTAATTTCAAAGGTGCAGATTGTTTTCTTTAACAATGTGCCAGGCTTACAATGCTGTAAATCTCTACAATTTTACTGCATAAAGATAGTTTGTCTGTCTACCTGTCACATGCACTGAATTAACCCTGGTTCACTAACATTCTAAAACTCATGAAATTGATTTATAATTCATAAGATGTTATCTTGTGGCCACAGGTCTATGGATAACGGCTGACAACGTTCCCACAATTTCACTGAAGAATAATACTCTCACTGTGTTCATCAAGTGAGTTGAGGTTGAAGCTGCTTAGTTAGAGTGAGTGAAAGTGTGATTTTCAGCTGCTTAAAGCTATATTCCTGCAATATTACAGTGCAGACATCAGAAATATGCTTCAAACATTTGATATATGTGGTGAATCAAACAGTCATGATCTGCAAACAACTTAACCAGTAGGCTACTTTGTCACCCTACATTGTTTGTCACCCTACATTGTTTGTCACCCTACATTGTTTGTCACCCTACATTGTTTGGCAGTGTTTCAGTCATATTCATTTGTCATGTCCATATTTTCATGAAGTGATGCAGGATTTCAAGTCTGCCACTTTGCTAAAACCACTGTCTCCGCTGGATTTGATTTTCTAGCAGTCAATTGGATCCCTTCATCATAAACCTAGGGCCACCCCCCGAAATATAAGAGCCCATTTTATAGCATTATAATACGAAATTTGTAAGTCAACAATCTGCACTGTCAGGTTTAAGAAGAAACACATACATGTATCTTCTAGAGTTTAGTGCACATCCATGTGAGTGAGTGAGTGAGTTTGGTTTTACGCCGCTTTTAGCAATATTCCAGCAATATCATGGCAGGGGAAACCAGACATGGGCTCACTCATTTTACCCATGTGGGGAATGGAACCCGGGTCTTCAGCGTGACGAGCAAACGCTTTAACCACTCCAAGGGATTCAGTATTTTGGAGAAAATTGTCTTAAGTATAATGCTCAGACAAAAAAACATCATATTCCTTCTTTGATTTCAAATATAAACAAACACAAAATAACAAACTTGGTCTAAACCAAATGGAAACTTGAGATAAAAATCACTAAAGTACTGTTGGAAATGCTAGAAAAATGCTTTTTAGCCTTAATACTTTGATAAAGGTGATAAATGTACTATGTTGTCAATATATCAACTCGCCTATAGTGTACCTATTTTTTTTTCCAATCGATTTAACATTCCCATGCATTTAAAGGGCAGTTTACAGGAGAGAATATGGTACCAAAACAACAACTTAAGATTTTTTCAGAGTTCAACAACAGAAATCTGAAATAGTCTTTACATTTATGCTAATAATACAGGTGGTGTAAAAATATGAATCAACGTTTTTCTTTAACAAATAAATGTTGAATGTTTGTGTTACTTTACTTAATTATCGTGTCTTTATTGAAGAAATATTAATATAAATGTTAAGATCTTGATAAATAAGTTTCCCGTCATGCATGCATATCTTTATCACAGCGTCCACTATGGCCAACTATTTGCAGTCAATTGTTGCAAAGGTTTATAAGTTTTTTGTGCTTGAAAAAGACAGAGGTAAACCTTTCATTAGTTTAGAAAGGGTTTATTACAGTACTTGTAGAGCTGTTGGTATGTCTTACCAACAAGTTTACAATATTGTAAACAAATCAGACAAGACAGGGACCGTCTCAAAACCAAAACCAGGACGTAAAACCATCCTTGACAACTTTGACAAGGGAGTACTTAGACGGGCGGTCTACAAACTTTAGGAGAAGAAGAATATATATATTCTAAAGAAGCTACACCAGTGACTTCGTTCAATCTTTGGCCAATGTTCACAACTAGATTAAACTGACCGAATTACATCCATATTTTTGCAATGAAATACACTTATTAAAACGTTGCACATTTCTAAAATCAATCAATCGATAAGATAACACAATGGATAGGATTCTTTCCAATGTACAGTAATTCGTATGTTTATTTCACAACAAACACACATACACAAATGCACAAATGATTTCCCACATAACCAATACGTATACTATACGTACACATATTCAACATTTTGCAGAAAACATCTATTGAGATGACCCCTCCCCCGAGCTTGTGCTCAGGTGTCAATTTCACCTGTCGATACCGTGCATGCTGATGACGTAACACAGGCAGTTAATGTTTGTATCAAATAACGTCCCACTACCCGTTATTTTTCTAAGCTTTTGGTATTTTCATCAGTAAAAACACATTTTAGGGCATGTCTCAAAATCTATTCCCTCGGTCTACATTAGGTAGATGTTTCTTAAAGTGATATTTGTTATTTAAGTAACTGTAATACCTCTGAATTTTAAATATAAGTCAAAAAGCATTTTTCTAGCATTTCCGACAGTACTTTAGACTTAGTGATTTACCATGTAAAATATATCCCCTGTTTTAACTGTCTTTAATGGAGAGTGAGTGAGTGAGTTGGGTTTTACACCGCTTTTAGCAATATTCAAGCAATATCACGGCGGGGGACACCAGAAATGGGCTTCACACATTGTGCCCATGTGGGGAATCGCTCTAAATTATGGAGAAGTTAAGAATCCCATATGTATTGACACACACATGCTTCTTTTAGCTGCATTCAATTCCCCAAATGGGTACATGTGAAGCCCATGGCCATTTCTGGTGTCTCCCGATGTGATATTGCTTGAATATTGCTAAAAACGGCATAAATTAAACTCACTCAGTCTTTAGTTGGAAAATTCAATGAAGATAATGCAAGTAATAATATGCAGGGCTCCAGATAAGGGCCATATCGGCGTATGTACGGATATGTATGGTATGTACGGGACATCAGAAATTGTACCTATGTGGGGAATCAAACTCGGGTATTCTGCATGAAAAGTGAAAGCTTTAACCACTAGGCTACCCCACCGCCCTCCACCCTATCCAAGTTGCTAAGGACCTGTACTGTTGTACTGCAGATACAGTGGCAGGTACTTTTAGTACAATATGACCCTGTTTCTCTTCCACATTTTCAAACATTGTGACCAACTTAATCAACTGTTCTGCATCATGTTTTGGAGTGTTTCTATTATTTCCCCATCTACCCAAACAATGGTTTCCAATTGCATAGATTGATGCTTATGCTGTTGATCACTGGATTGTCTGGTCCAGACTCGATTATTTACAGACTGCTGCCATATACAGCTGGAATATTGCTGAGTGCATCGTAAAACTAAACTCACTCACTCACCCAAACAAAAAATAACAAGAAGACAAAGTCATAATATCCCCCTCAACGGCAAAATAATCTTTATGAATATGTCTACTAGTTATGATTATGTCAAATGTTTTGGAGTGTACACAGCAAAGTGGAAGAAGAATATTGAAAGGTTTTTAAGATCTGCTCCAGAAAAGATCACTACCACCAAATTTAGTTGAAGCCTAACTTGTTGCCATGGACATGCAACAAGATGACATCCTCATAGTCACAGCCTAAGTCATGTTTCCATGGAAACCACAAAAATAAAATTCATATCTGGGTCTAACCCCCAAAAGGCACATCTTGTGTACCAAGTTTGGTTATGCTATCACGAATAGTTCAGGAGATATGCTTCGGACAAAGTGTGAGAGACGCACAGCCGGACACATGGATGCACGGACGGACGGAACTCGTTTCTATATCCCCAGCAACTTCATTTTTGGGGAGGATAACAAATCAGTCACCAAATGAATTTTCATAAAATAATACAGTAAGACCCCATATCAGGCTTATATAATCCTTAAACATTTTATAAACCAACACAGTTAGAAAGGTGGGTTTAGTTCCCTTGACTTTCCAGCCTTCCAAGAACTTGACCCTTCAACATTAAATCTTATTTGTTCACTTTAGCTGATACACTTGGTTTCCTATGCAAACATATACCATGATATACTGGGATGATAGCATAGAATAACATTGGTAACAGATGAATATCGTCTTTAACTCTCAAAGGTCACTGGTTTATTTGGCATGCTTGGTCAAACAATTTGTACTCAAAGTTTGGAGATATATGTGTTTCAGACCACTGCCCAGACTGATTGATTGTCATATACATTTGTAAACATTGCTCATTTCTATTTAAAAATATATGACAGATATGGGAGAACATGAAGAAATTCCAGTCACTTGATCAAATTCTTAAATTTCCTTGCTCCATGTAAGTAGCAAAGTTATTGTTATCACATCAAACTAACTGTTGTAACTATAACAACTGTGTTCATAATTTATAGCTAGGGGGGTGATGATGATTTATATGGAGAAGCATGAACAATGAAAAAATGACCCCCCTAAAGTTTATGTACAAAGAAAGTGACCCCCGTACATGTCATGTATAAAATAAATACCCCCACCCCACCCTGATAATTTTTTAATATTTTAATGGACAAAATTTCTGACCCCTCCTAGTACATGAGTACAAAATTGATGACCCCCCTACCTCCCCAGAACAAAATGGGTGACCCCCTTAAAATCATCACCACCCTCCCCAGCCAGAAATTATTAACAATCCCTTAAGTCATTATGACTTGGATCCCTAACTCTGTTAAACCAAACCAACAGCCACACATATCTGTTACCGTGGCCTAGCCAAGCAGTCTGGTTTCACATCCGAACAAAACACTTTTTATCATTTATGGATGTAAGTGAAAATCAATATGAGCTGCCATCAAGCCCAGTCTGAAAATACCTTCTTGTATAAACTGTAGCAAGCACCTGTCAAACTGGTTATATGACATGTGCTCTTTTGCATATCACTGTTACCACAGCAACACTAAACAAACATTCTCTCTGGACCACAAAACAAAGCCA